AACATAAAACTCAAAGAATAGTCATACACCAACAACTAACATAAAACTCAAAGAATAGTCATACACCAACAACTAACATAAAACTCAAAGAATAATCATACACCAACAACTAACATAAAACTCAAAGAATAGTCATACACCAACAACTAACATAAAACTCAAAGAATAGTCATACACCAACAACTAACATGTAACTCAAAGAATAGTCATACATTACCTTTGCCAGCATCATAGCTTCTCAAGCGGATGATTACCGTGATGATGATGGTAATGAGAATGAGAGACCCTACTGTTCCAATAAGCACTCCAACTAAGGGGCTCAGGAGTAAATTGGACGTTGCTCCTATTACGTTTATAGAGTAGTATTAGACATATTTAACACATCAAGAACAATTCATTATTAACTATATAAATACCGTAGAAATTTAACATTTTGTTACGTATTGGCTGCTGACACATTTCACAAAAATTATAATATTACAACCTTTTTTTTTGAGGAATCATTTTTTCACTGACGCTTCCTCCAACCCTTGAAAGTAGATCCGGTTTATAATTTATTTTAGGCACGTTGTATATGTATTTAATGAAAGGAAGAAAATAGTGATTTTTAGCACAATTAAATATAACTAGTGCCTAGTGAAAATATTTTATTTCATTGTGACAAAAATCACCTTTTTCTTCCTTTAAATACATAAATCAGGAGTTATGTAAACCTTTTAAACCAGGACATTTAATAGATATTTCAATACATCTCCAAATGATACTTTTTTTTTCTGCAGAACTGATTATGAAAGAAACGTTTCGTCGCCTTTATTATCACATCTTGAAACTTAAGAAGGCTTCATCTTTTTTTTTACCCACGAACCCATCAGTTACAGTGGAACACCTATAAGAACACTGGTGTGGGTCAGAAGTTGGCACAGTGTCAAAATAAATAATTAATAATAGTACAATACTCGCTCGACTGTTTGAACGTTATTGTGAATTATGCAGTTATATATTGTTTCCCTCACAAAGTTTTTCCGTCTATTACTCTGCTTTATGAGCAGATTCAGCATACAGGAACCAACACTTCCCGAGAACACTCTCTCTCTCCAGATTGACCCCAGTATGTAAGTGTTTTTCCATTTTCCTTTCTTTCCGCGGTCGTTAGACTCAAGAAAAAATAAAATTATGCAACTGATTTAGATAGAAGAAGATTGTCAAAACAATATTGATTCTTTCCTAATACTGGAACCTACTTAGAGATACTGACTCTGGCATAGCAAAATAGTATAGCATAACTGGTTTAACCAGCCACATGATACTGACTCTGGCATAGCAGAGTCAGTATCATGTGGCTGGTTAAACCAGTTATGCTATACTGTTTTGCTATGTCAGAGTCAGTATCATGTGGCTGGTTAAACCAGTTATGCTATACTGTTTTGGTATGTCAGAGTCAGTATCATGTGGCTGGATAAACCAGTTATGCTATACTGTTTTTCTA